CTACAAACTCGTGGAGGTAAAAGAACAAAAATCAGCTGCACCACCAAATGTGAAAACACCCTTAGCGAGTTGGCTTTTCTGATAACCACAGGTAGTGTGTTTCATAGCTTTGTCTTGTAATTGACAAAGGCTGAGATTCTTTTTGTCTCTTTGAACCCCCAATAATCACCAGCAGATGATCACTAATAACCTAAGAAGAAGTTACCTTAAAAGCAGTTCTTATTGGTACAGGAAGCCAGTGAGGAAGAGAAAATACAGGACTAATGCGCTCTCTCCTCGTAGCTCTGGCTGCAGAGATTTAAGTGAGCTGACGTTACTCTGCGTTTTGTTATCATAAAAAGTGAGAGAAAGGCATGAATCAAATATAAGCTTTTCACTTCTCATACGTCTACACATCCTCTTCTTACACCTACTTCTTTTTGTCCGTCACATCTTTTCATCACGACTCACCTCATCTGCCCACAACTGATGCACCTCACCCTTCACCTCTTTCTTATCAACACGACACCAAACACTGCGAGGATCACTCAGGCATACTTCAGTAAAAGTAACAAAACCAACACAACGAAAATACTCAGGAAACGTTGTCACAATTAAAGACAGGATTTGAAGTTTGAATTTTTTTTTATTTAGCTAATGTTGTACACAAGCTGTCCTTCACGACAGATGGGATTTGTTCTGTATTGACCCAGACAGGGACTTTAATGCATTGTTTCAGCTGGAAATGTAGCAAAGAAGGCCAAACATAAACCCTTTTCACACATATGGAAATCTCTTGAAAAACTCCGGAGATTAGGCTACCCGGAGGGACTTTAGGGTATATGTGAACGCAAACAGCCACATTTTACGCGCAGACTTTACCCGGAGTTTATCCTGCTGGACCCCTAGTATTTTATCCGCAGAAAGTCCGAGTGAGCTGATATGAGAATGCAGCCGCATATACTCAGGAGGATTCACCTCGAGCTCACCTCAAGCCAATGGGAAGAGAATGACGTTCATATACAGTGACTGCCTAAAGCGTCTGCACACGACCAATGTGATCTCCGTGCACGTAATTAAAAGGGCATTATCTAGATATTATCCGTAGTGCATATGTGAAAACGGCTATAAATTCAGTTTTCAGTTTTGATTTCATTAAGCTGAAGGAAGTCGCTAAACGTCCAGTTTTTGATTATATTTAATCAAAAGTTGTAGAGTGTGCAGTTAAAGGGATCCCAAAACTAAAAACTATTTGTGCACTACGACATGATATGGTACGATTGGATATACCATTCAATACAATACGACACAACAAGACACTATACAATACAATATGGTATGATATGACACAATACGATGCAATGAGATTAGATTTAAACGTACAATATGTCAAATTTTGACACCAAAATATCTAAATGATTCAAAAGTGGACTATGTTATATACCGTATTCTTTTTTGTTGAGTACTTACATTACCTCAAATATTTTCCAACACTTATCAAAGCCAGAGAAATACGTAATTTTTTAGTTGTAACGGCCCAAGGCTTGTTGTGGCAGCCAACATTTTTATCGTTGCCAAGGAAACACAGGATGTTACGTCAAAGAGTGCTGCATAAGGAAGCAAGAATTGCTACTGAAAGCTGCCGTACTGTTGCTGTTTGTACTGCTGGGTTAAAAAGTCATGTAAATTGTACTCTGACACATTAGCTCGTCGGTAAACATATTCTCTTCCTCAGGGTCGTCTTTTTGTCGGGGTGGGGCGGGGGAGCAGAGAGAATTACTCCCACGATTCCCCGCTAGCTTCGATGTCATTTTTTGTCATTGTTTTGTGTGTGTGTAAAAGTACAGAGAGTTGCAGTAAAGTTTCCTCAGAATTTGGATTTAATAATGACAAACATAAAAAGATACGAGATCAAAATTAGTCATAAAGATTTTCAATTTCAAGCAGGATTAGGGCGAAAAAAAAATATTCAGAAGTACTAATCAGGTTGTGATTTACTGTCTTTACTTTGTGCAGGATGCAGGGTTAATACCTGTGCTGGGAAATAAGATCCACCAGCCGTTCACTATGTTCTGGCCCACAAACCAAGCTCTGGACTCCCTGCCAGCTGAAAGACAGCGCTGGCTCTCCAGCCCCGACCACCAGGACCAGCTGGCTGCTACCGTGAAGGCTCACATCATCCGTAACTCCAAGGTAGGAGGAGGATGAGGAGGAGGAGGAGGAGGAGGAAGAGGAGGAGGAGGATTGTCTTATTTATTAAACGACCAATGTTATAGCTCTTCAGTGTTGCTGCACAATAATAAGTGTTTACAACATCTGTTACGTTTGTCAGGATTGTGTTGCTTAAATAAACACGTCAAAGTTATTTTTTGTTTGTTGTTTGATAAATCATTGACGTAATTTCTTCACTTTTTCAAAGACAGCGAAAACTTCAAGAATAAATAGCTATATATTTTAAATAGAAAAATGGGCTTTTCCCCAAACATACAGTGGGTGTTGATTTAATGTTTCCAAGACTTAAAGCGATTCCCACTCTGTGCCCCAGATAACCAGTAAGAAAGCTATAGAGAATAAATTTGGCGGTCACAGAGGAAGAGAAAGGTCACAGAGTCTCTTAATCGACCCAAAGAGGAGAAGAGTTAGGATGATGAAAATAACGTGACAAATAAATCCATTTTATTTTGTTGTGTGTCTTTGTGTGTGTGTGTGTGTGTGTGTGTGTGTGTGTGTGTGTGTGTGTGTGTGTGTGTGTGTGTGTGTGTGTGCTTGTGTGTAGGTGATGACTGTCAGTCAGCCGTCTAAATACTCGTGGTTTCGGACCATGCACGGATCCCAAATCAAGTTCAGTTGTGACAAAACCCAAGTGGTGAGTAAAACTTTCTCACAAACTGAAATAGAGCCATATTACTGTAATAACTTAAGTCGTCTCATGTCACCATGGTGATGTCTGAGAGGACACTGAAAAAATACATGAATTGATCAGTGTTCCCTTTCAGCTGCGGTGGCATGTTTAAACTGAGTGTTAGAACATTTGGTAAGATAGCTATGTGTGCTTAATGTGTGTGTGCGTTGTAACTGTGTCTACTTGTGTTCAGGGCGCTATTTTGCTTAACGAAAATGAAGCCAAGGTCGTGGAGCGCTACATGACCTTCAGAGAGGGCATGGCCTATGGCATCGACCAGTTACTGGAGCCGCCTGGCCTGGGAGCACACTGTGACGGCATAGAGAACAGGACCACTAAAGTATGTTAAGCTAACACAGCTACTTTCGATGCTTCTTTAATGCTGCTGACAATACAAATGTTTACACTTGTTCTTGATAAGATGAAAAATAACCTGTATCTCAGTTTCACAAGTATAGATTACATTCTTACAGTTCCAAGGTTACACTCGGATCTTAAATGCTAATATCGGCAACTACTTTGGATCAGTTAGTTTTTACACCCCTGATGGCTGGGCAGTAGAGGGCTGTCTGTGCGCTTGCATGAAGCGTTTGTGTGCTGAGAATAAAAGTGTATCCATCCTGTCTCTATGACAACAGTCTGTTGACAACGGCCGCTGTATGAGACACACACTTTTCACTGTTTTTTATTGGAGATCGTTTATTTCCCGATCAGACACGGAGCAAAGAGGATATGGGTACAAGACATGATCCGTAGGCGGCAAAACTACAGGAAATCCATACATTTGGGAAAGAGCTGAAAGATATTCAACTTGACAATCGGAGCAGCAGCACAAAAAAGGCGGATGCTGGGCGCTGCGGTTTTTCTTCTCGGTGGCCGCCTTCTGCAGCAAACGCTCTCTGCTCTTTGAAAACAATTAAAAAAAGACGCTACTACTCAGAAATAAACGCTAGGTTATCAGGTAGCATAATTGATGGGGAAGCCTAATTGAAGCTTTCTTTGTTCAAATGTCTCAGGGGCGCTGTGGAAACTGCATCATAACTCCAGTCTGCCCCTTCAAACACCATGACACGGTACAGTCTGCATTTCAGCTATAAAAAAAAACCCACACACTAACAGATTACAACAAATAAATCTAGAAATAAATTCAACTGTTACTTTGTTCCAGGGAAGAAAAGAGAGCTGTTTAAATTTGCGCTCTAGGTTCGGACGCGGCCCGTCACGTTGGTACACTGATCTGGATGATCATTTCAGCCGCAGGGGCTGTCAGAGAGTGTGTCAGTTTGATACCTGGAGCCAAAAATGCTGCAAAAACCACTATGGCAGAGACTGTCAAGGTAAGGAAGGAAGAAATCAATAAAGACAGTCAGAAATGTGTCTGAACAATCCTGCAGAGATCTGGAAACAATGTTGTATCACTCCAATTATCATCAAGTTTTACGTGAAATGGAGGGAGGTGTTTGAGGAAAGGTCATTGGGGCAAAGTGCCAAAATGGCTGCAGGTGCAACTGCCACCATCACCCACTGAACCATCCATCCTTTACCCCTTAATTGGTAGATAGGGACCAGGCTAGCAGGGCCATGTGCTCACTACCATACCAGTAGGACTGGTAGTGAGCAGGATTGCAAACTCAACATGTCAAGAACAGATGGAACTAGAAAGACAACACGGACAAAATGCTTGTTTTAGACTTTGCTGAACACAATCAAAATCAGGTTTTTTTTTAGTTGCAACTGTGTTTTTTAATCCACCTGTTCTGTGTTTTTTTCAGTTTGTCCAGGTGGATTGGAAGCACCTTGCAGTAAAAATGGTGACTGTGACGATGGTGTGCGTGGTTCAGGAAGATGTAAGTGCCGAGAAGGCTTTGTAGGAAAAGCTTGTGAGCTGTGTCTCTCCGGCTACTACGGCCCCAACTGCACAGGTATACCAAAAGACACATGAAGGTGTGATTTAAACACAACTAAACACAAACTAAATCCCAGAATGTGATACCAGTATACCAGTTTAAAATAAGTGATTCTCTGTCGTCGGTTTGACAGCAACGTCATTGTAAGACATGTTTACAATTTTATTTGTTTGTCTGTTCTTAAGTGCATATTTGTCAATCTTTTCTCTCTATACATCTTCAAATGAAAACAACCCAAAATCCATTTGTCTTCTTTCAATTCAATTCAATTCAATTTATTTTTGTATAGCGTCAACTCATAACAAGTGTTATCTCAAGACACTCTTTGTCTGTTAACATTACGAAAGAGCAGGTAAAAAGACCTTACTCATTGTTATGTTACAAAAATCAGGTAAAAGACCTTACTTATTGCCATATTACAAAGACCCAGCCTATCCATCATGAGCACTTTAGCAAAGCAGCAAAAGTTACAGTGGTAAGAAAAAACTGCCTTATTAAAAGGCAGAAATCTTCGGCCGGATCCCCGGCTCATGACGAAACAGCCTTCACAGGCCTAGACTGCGCCGGGCTTGGAAAGGGATAGGGGGAGAGATGGGATAAGATGTTGTTTTTCTTTTTAATCCTCGTCGAGTTAAAGGAGTAGTTTATCTATCTGTCTATTTTTGTCGCGCAGCATCAGAAACTAAAAGAAATTCAGAGAAGGAATTTTGAAATGAGATCGGTGTGGGAGCTCCTTAAAGGGAAGTAAAATAAAGGGCTTCTTTTCTGCTTTTCGGGAAAGCAATACAACAATCAACAAAATGGAGGATAGAGGACGTCGACCAAACGCTTAAACATCAATCAATCTTTATCTGTATAGGGCCAGTTCACAACAAATGTTATCTCAAGACACCTTACAAAAAGCAGGTAATAGACCTTACTCATTGCTATATTACAAAGACCGAACGTTAATCCATCATGAGCACTGAGCAACATTTACCGTATTTTCCGCACTATAAGGCGCACCGGATTATAATGTGCACCTTCAATGAATGGCCTATTTTAGAACTGTTTTCATATATAGGGCGCACCGGATTATAAGGCGCAATAGAACGTGTTTACAACTGAACAAGGCTGGGAGATATTGTGAATATATAAATATAAACTACGTTTTATACGTATACGTTTTATACGTATACGAAAACTACGTTTTATACGTAGTGCATTCACAATAACTCAACGTTGTTTAAAACGTTAATGTGCATATTCACAATATCTCCCAGCCTTGTTCAGTTGTAAACACGTAAAAGAAACACAGTCTGATACCGCTAATTCAAACGTTAGTGCATAACTCAACATTGTTCAGTTACATATAACACGTAAAGCTCACTTTTTCAGTTCATTCCCCGTCCACGAATCCCTCGAATTCTTCTTCTTCAGTGTCCGAATTGAACAGTTGGGCGAGTACGGCATCCAACATGCCCGGCTCCCTCTCGTCATTATCCGAGTCAGTGTCGCTGAGCGCCGTGTACAACCAGTATGGATCAACCAATTAACCAATTGATCCATATATAAGGCGCTCCGGATTATAAGGCGCACTGTCGTTTTTTGAGAAAATTAAAGGCTTTTAAGTGTGCCTTATAGTGCGGAAAATACGGTAACAAAGTTAGTGGCAAGAACACACTTTCTTTCAAGAGGCAGAAATCTTGTGCAAAACCAGACTTGTGATGAATAAGCCGAAACTGCGCCGGGCTTTAAAGATGGGATAAGATGCAGGACAAAGGATAAGGACAAACATCATCACCCTCGCTAGTCAGAACCAGATTTACTAGTCAGTTAAACTTTTAATATTTTGGCTCAAAATTATGCTAATATGTTACGCTCAAACTGCAATGCAGCCACCTGCCACTAGATGGGGCTGTAGCCATAGAAAAAACAAATTGTGCTCAATGTTCACTGTTTTCTGAGTGATTTATCGTCTGGGAACCTTCTTAGTTTCAAGAAAAACTGTGGTTATATTTTCTTTTATTTGCCGTTACGCCCACATCCATCATATTAGCTGGTTTGAATCATGTCTAATCAGTGAATTGTATCCACTCCCAAACTGACATGCGCGCTGTCATTGGCTGGAGGAGATACACCTGCTCCCAACCGAGAAATGTCTTGAGAAAATAAGTGCTGGATTACAGCTTTAGGACAAAACAAACCACGCTTGAGTAATTAGGTCATTTAACCTTCATTTGACCTTTATCCTTCCTTGACCCTCTAGCCCTTAGTAGTAGAGTCGTAACAGGGGCGAGACAGTAGGAGTGTTTAACATCAGGGCTGGCATGGCAGAATGGCGGTGTGCGTGTATGCGGAGCTCCTGCAGCTTATGAAGTCACAAACTGTGACACCGATACAAAGCCAGTGCAGATGCAGTGTGTAAGTACAATGGCATAATGATGGCGAAACTTTATGGCGCTGTTGCAGAATCATACTGTGTACAAGGCTAGTCTCACCCCCATCGGCTATCCTTTAGTCTGTCGCCATAGCAACACTCCCCACTCACCATCACACAGCTGGATGTTCTTCCAGCAGACAAAGCCTGACAGCTGTGTTCAGTCAGAGTTACCCTGTAAGGCCCGTTCTAACATGTTCACCAGCTGCTGATCTCTGCTTCGGTTTCAAAGTCCCCCTTAATCATATCCTAATGTTTATAAACACGCGTCTCCTTTAATGTGTCAGCGCTCTGATTCAGGGCTGTAGCAAACGCAAAACTGCTTGATCATCGCTTTGAAGGGAGATAAACCGTGGATTCATCGCTAGTAAATGAATCCCAAACTAATCATAGGTATAAGCTGAAAATGGCTGAATTTTGAATCAGGTTTTAAAGCAGAGTAGCTCTCTGTGAACGGTTTTCTGTTATTTCAGTGAACCTTTGGAATTGTTGTTATTTTTTTCTTACACTGTTGATCATTCTATACAGACATTTAAACAAAGGCAGTGTTATGTCTGCGTGCATCAAAGAGCTAAGGTTGTCACCTAACGTTGTATCTCAGGAAATGAAACATACAGGAAGTTTGGTCATCTGAATTGTCTTTCTCAGCCTGCAGATGTGGGCAGCAGGGAAGGTGTGAAGACGGCATTGAAGGTTCAGGGTGTGTCTGCACACCGGGCTGGGAAGGTGATCGCTGCCAGAACGAAAAAGGTGAGTTTCATTCCTGAATACGGGGCTGTAGCTCAGTTTGTAGAGTTGGTTGTCTCTCAACCGGAAGGTTTGGGGTTTGATGTCCCCTTTGATGTGTCCTTGGGCAAGACACTTAACCCCAAGTTGCTCCCCCTGCTTCGCCTGCGGTGTATGGATGGGATTAGTTACTTCTGATCTTCACTTTACATAGCAGCCTCTACCATCAGTGTGGGAATGTGTAGGTGTGACCTGCGGTGTAAAAGAGCTTTGAGTAGTCAGAAGACGAAAAGCTCAAGTCCATATTACCAAAAAATACAATTTAGTTCAAGAAGTCCATCCTAAAGCCCAGTGTGTCTACTTCATCTTTAAGTGTCTGTACAAATAGTGAAGGAAATATTTCTCATTCGGCTTGATTTACTACAAAGTCAAAACAAAGTGAAGTCTAGCCATGTGGATGTAAATCCAGCTCTGCAAACTCACGTTATCTGCATGCTTGTTTGAGCTGAACTTTTTTTTACCAATAAAACAAGAACATTGGTGTCAAACTGCAACAAAAAGCATCTTAATGTTGAGATTTCCTTGAAGTTCTGAGCTAGCATCAACAATAATCAATCAAAACTCCAGGAGAAAAACACACTTTTTAAAAGCTGTTGTTTGTGTTCTTGCAGGGAGCCTTGACAAAGTAATTGTTTTTACTTTTTACAAACCTGCATCATGGTGTCATCAGTTCAGCATCCTTTCAAACTGTTTATTCCCGATAAATCACAGCTAAATCTTTTTAGGTTCCAATGGCAACTTGAGTCAGACAACTCACATTTGCTTGAAATATTTATCGCAGCAGCAGAACAAAGTTTGAGCTTGGCGTCGAGGCTCCAACCTCATCCCTCCTTTCAGTTTTACATGCAGAAATTTCTGGAGCAATGGGATGATATCTGAAAGGCCCAGTCGGAGCCTACAGGTGGATGCTGGGTTGGGTTGGTGGTGGGGCTGAGTGACAGTGCAGTACAGCTGCAGGTCAGAGCTGGTGATGAAAGAGCAGAGGGAGAGACCAAAAATCTTGCAGCTTAAATACACTGCCAATTGGAAGGAGGTACTGTCAGGTGATTGTGGATAATGACGCACATCAAGTGTGAAATCAGTGCAGCTCGAATGGTCTGCCTGAACTGGCTCACAGGCGTCGCTTCATTAGTTGGTATTCAGCAAGAAACCCTTATACTGAGCTGATTTGGTCCAGGTGTAGGTGCTGGCTATACATTTCCCATCAGCATTTTGAACAGCATGAATAAAGAGCGTTGAGCAGCCTGGGTGGAGATGCTTTCTGGTTATTACTATTTTATAAGATTTGTTGCTTCTATCAAATTTACATTTCCTTCTTTACCTTTTTGTCTTCAATGAATCCTCCATGCGCCTTTGTGTCCAGGCGTCATCCCAGAGGAGTGTCGGCAGTGCCACTCTGACGCCGACTGTGTGCCAGCCGTTGGATGTCAGTGTAAATCTGGGTTTCAGGGGAACGGCACCTTCTGCAGCCCAGAGCCACGTGAGTGTTCTGCAGTCCCAAAGAACAATTTACCATCTGGAGAGTCTGAAATCCTGCAGGCTTTTGTCAGCACCACAATAGTTGTTTTTTTATTAAAAACATATTAACTAATTTCTTAAAAAAACATTTTCTAAAGCGCTTTGAAGCTATAAAAGAATGAAGAATGAAAGAGAACAAAATTCTGACCTTCGACTGTAACACTAAAACTCCTCAATGTTGGCTGTATGCCTGCTGCAGGATGTCAAATAATCCTGACCCTGCTGAAGCTCAAACTTTTTAACACGTACACATAAAAACATTGTAAATTTGGATTTACGTGTTCAAGGTTTAACTCTGATGTTGGATCAATAGCAGAATAACTTAAGCTTTATTTTATACAATTGGTAAACAGAGTTGCTAACATAATTTTAATATATTTATCAGACTTCTGGTGTTTTTTTATTTTTTATTTTTTATTTTTACCTTGGTCAGGTTAGGAGTGCAGCCAGCTTCTTTTCTGGGGGAGTCTGGCCTTCAAATTGGTCATCAGCAGTGAAAAACTGGTGGTGTGAGTCCTCACTAAGGCCAATAACAGACTTTATTTTAGAACTGAATGTAGCAATTGTAATGTCACCTCTTGGTTTGTAGAAAGACTGCCTTGACTCATCAAGAAGACGCACCCTCATGATCCCTGGCTTCTTCTTGTTATTCCATAAACTTTATTAAAGGGGACATATTATGAAAAATCCACTTCTACAGTGTTTCTGAACATATATTTGGGTAACCTAAGTGTCTACCGACCCACAAAATATGAAATAAATCCATCCAGTCCTTTGTTTGTAGTCTGCATAAGTTTTACAACACAGAGAAAAATGCTCTGTTTCTAATTTTCTCGGTTTGTGATGTCACAAGCTGGATTCTGGTAAAAAAATATATATATATCCTCCCCTCCCCTGGTATCTTCGCCCATGAACTCCACCCCCAGGCTAGAACAAAACTTTTGCACAGGTCTGCCATTTTTATTTTTGCTACAGAGGAGTGATGTCTACCGGGAAAACTCAGGGGTTGCTCATTGCATTTAAAGAGACACACACACCAAAACGGAGCGTTCTGAGAGAGCTGGTTTATACAGGGTCGCAAACCTCCTCTGGTGCTTGATTCATGTTAGATTTTGACCAAAGCACAGCACAGATGTTTCATTTAGACCACAGGGGACTGTTTGAAAAGGTGGAAAAGGGAGATAATATGTCCTCTTTAATCCCTGAGGGGACATTCTGCTTTATACTCTGTTATTGGACTCACGGTCATAGGCCCAAATTACACACATGGAATGGAAACATGTCAGAGTGAGGCTGCTACACGGGGAGTGTGCTAGAGCCTCCTGCGCCTTGGTCAAGGGCATCTCAGCAGTACTAAGAAAGTGAACTGGCCAGCTTCCATAATTTTGGTCCGTACCGAGACTTGAACCGGGGACCCTTCATTTGGCAACTCAAGTCCCTACAGACTGAGCGACTGCTGCCCAAAAAGCCACTTCATCAACTTTTTAGCTCAACATCAAGCAATAACGTTTCACGGATACCTTTCCAGAAAAAAGGAACTCAAAAACTCTCTGAAAGATATAATGTTAGTGACATAGAGCATGTTAGTGTTTCCCACAGTATTTCATGAGACTATGGTGGGGGAAACCCGACCCTCTAGGGGGGCCTGGGGGTAATCCACCCCTGGGAGAAAAATTTGTGTATTTTAAAGTTAGATGCATCAATTTGTACAAAATTAAGAGGTGAAATGTATGAAAAACTTTGTTCTCTTCTAACAATTTTGTGTTCTTGTAGTGTACAAATTGTCAAAACATAAAATCCAATGCCCATGGAAGTTAAATGGCTTCAGGCTAAAAAGTAAACTTTAAGTGCAGTTTTTCAAGGTGAGTTGCGGAGCGTCTTGGATTTGTTCCGCTCTTTCATTTGTTTTGCAGGTTCTAAAAGAATATTCAACTAGAATCTCGTTATTTAGGTTTACAACTAGTTATGCTGCTTTGTCTGACAGGGTGATCAAAAGTCTTTGATTGTGTTTAAAACCTCCGAAACCTGCGCAGCGATTGAAAAGCTCCGAACGGCTGTGAATTGTAACACTCTGCAGGAGGTAAACAAGGTACAGACCGTTTTAGGGAACGGACATAAAAACAATCACACATTCCGGTGTAGGCTACTGCAGCCACACATCACATTTAACGGGGGTAAACTGTACTTTAAATGTTCTTAGAAAAGAAAAGAAAAACTTTAAATGTTCTTATAACCTACTTGATAATAATTCCCTGACGCTAGCGGGGCAAATTAGACTATGGCACAACTGATTAGACTATGGCAGGCTGCCACAGTCTAGTTAATTAATGGGAAACACTGCATGTGTTAGACCTAATAGTAGCAAATCAACAGAAAGTAATTGGACAAATGTTCATTTGCTATTAGTGTAGTGCAAAACAATGAGGGGGATTTGTAGATATGGAGATGACACATTTACAGATCAGATCTCGTCCTTTGTTGGGACGTGGATTTCATTAAATGACAGCTTTGTTAAACTCTTCAGCTCCAGACCTCTGTGCCGAGTATAACGGTGGCTGTCACCAGAACGCAGACTGTAACCAGACAGGACTACTTGTCAACTGCACCTGCCAGAGTGGTTACCAAGGAGACGGCTACTCCTGTGAGCCTATCAACAGGTGGGTGGGGCCTGTCATTTTCTCTGAATCAAGTTCCTGTTTCTCTTCAGTGGGTTTCTGTCTCCTAGAATCATTTTTATGAATGTAAGAAGTTGACAGATGCTGTTCTTCTGTATGTTTGTGATTCAGGTGTATTGAAGACAACGGTGAATGCAGTGAGTTTGCTTCCTGCAAGTTCACTGGTCCAGTGAGTAAAACTTTATCCTCTTTTTTCCTATCAGTGTTGTTTTGTTCTATGCAGCAAAGAGAAAGTGTCAGTTTGTGGGTGGAAGTGTTGTCAACTTAAACAAAACTTAGGCCCCTTGTCCCCCTTGTGTTGTTTCGGGCAGAAAAGCTCTGGCTGTGTACTCGGGAGTGCTTGGATGAAGCGTTTGCATGTGCACGTTGTCTCTCTGACAACAGTCACTTAAAAACAGCCACTGTATGACCGACATTTGAGACATATTTGAGATCATTTTTTCCCCTTCATAATGAGTATCAAACAGAGGATGCTTGCTTCTCTACTTAGTCTGGTCACGGAGCAGGATGTGGGTTAAGAGCACGATCCGCCTTTGTCAACAACAATGGCGGATGAGACACTAATCTGACTGCTGCTTATGCCAGGGCACAATTCCTTTATGTTGTTTCTATGTCTTCTGGGTCACATTGCATTGAATAAAAAAGCAAATGTTAAGCAGAAAAAGCAAATTTAAAACAGATCTAACTGTCACTACCGATTGAAGTGAAGTGCTGCTTGACAACTTTTGTAACCTAGCAACAGGAAGTCGATGACACATGCTCTGAAACTGAGCTGCCAGCGTAAAGATAGCCGTTAAATGACTCAGGCACTTGATCTGTTTTTTTCCAGAATGAACGTGACTGCGAGTGCTTGCCGGGGTATGTGGGTAATGGAGTCCAGTGTTTGGAGAAGGTGGTGCCCCCTGTTGACCGCTGCCTTGAAGACAATGGAGGCTGCGACCCTGTGGCCACATGCAAGGACCTGCATTACCATGGTAACGTATCTCTACTAACTTGAATCATCTTAGCCATAATACCTTCAGTAGTGAATAGTGGCGTCTGCATTACAAATCATTAAGTACATTATTTTTTGTCAAACAGCAGCAAACCTGAGATTGAGATAAACTGATAAATGTTTCATAAATGTTACCCCTACACACATTTTTTCCAGGAAAGAAACCACGCATTTGCCTAAAAACAATGCTGTCACATTAACCAGATACTGAGGCTCCAACTCCCGATTATTCCCCACAGTCCTCAATCACTAAATAAACTTTCCCTGATTCACCTCTACTCTGCTAATCAGGAGCGCCATTTGTGAACAGAGCTGTCGATCATGACTTTTACTTGTTTTTATAGCATCAGATAACTAATTCAAAGAAAAGAAAAGTGAACACTTGGTCATGTTTGAGATGAGTTTCACATGTATTATGATCCTATAATTCGTCCCATCTGTTAACATGGAGGAGGCGTAGCTTGTTGACTAAACTGATTTGGTTTCAATTTGTGGGAGCTGTCATATGGTCCATCTTTCATAGTCTCCCGTTGATACCAAGATATGTTAGCCTCATGCTCATTTATCAAGGTGTTTCTATTGATGCTTCATTCATTCATTCATGCGTCATGTTTTATTTGTAATACCAAAAGTGGGACCAAACACCTGACAGCCACTTTTGTTTTCCGGTGGTGAATTATTTTACAATGCAGCATTTAGTTTTCACCCATAGATAATAAACTGTAACTTGGGTGTTGTGGTTCAGCCAACACAGCCGGAGTTTTCCACCTGCGCTCTCCGGAGGGGAAGTACAAGATGAACTTCAGTCAGGCTGACGCCGCCTGCCAGGCAGAGGGCGCCCAGCTGGCCACCTTCAAACAGTTGGGAGATGCACAGCAGGTAAACCCACTCACAGAAGGTTTTACTGTAGAGACACTGCACAGTTCAGTTCAGACTGTATTAGGAAATGTTTTTGAAGATGGGGAGTAATTCACTTTTTTTTTACATGAATCTAAAAAAGAATAATGGTCCTCATAATTTACACTTATCCTCTTCTATAAATCCTGATGGTAGCAGTGCATGCTGGTATTTCTTATCCATTTAAACAGCCGTCTTCTTTCTTCCCTGCTCCAACAGCTGGGGATGCATCTGTGTGTGGCAGGCTGGATGGAGGGAGGAAAGGCCGGATATCCGACCACCTTCCCCTCGGTCAGGTGTGGAGGAAACCACATAGGAGTGGTGATATACAAAGAACCTGTGGACCAGAGCTTCAAGTACGACGCCTACTGCTACAGGCTGAAAGGTACTACAGCAGCACAGTCACATCACACATCACAGAGTCCGGATGGATGCAACTTCACCGGGCTGACTTGTCTGTGAAGCTCTGTGTTGTTTGTTCTTCTGGAGATAATATCTGCTCAACGCTGGATATCAGTTTGATCTGTTTATGTTTCATGTACTGCCGTTAATAATCACATTTTTGTTTGGGAGACTTTTTTATAAAATAGCAACAATATTTAACTTTTACACCTTAAAATAGTGCAGTAACTTTCAACGGGGAGAATGACGTCTCTCCCATGTCCATGGCCTGTTTGCTGCAGTATGTAACTTTGGCAGTGTGCTGAGGTCATTTCACAAGAAGTGTAACATTCCAGTAACATTACTAAATCTTATCAGTCAATTTGGTAGTTTGGCTTCTCACAACATCTTTGTCAGTTTCTCACTCTCTGCTAATAAACAAATACACGTTATCAAAGAGGGGTGAACGTAACAGCACTTTGTCTTTCTTCAGTGCAGTTTCACTCAGAGACCTTCAGTGGGGGCCAAAGCGCCACCAAACCTAATCCATACATATTGTTACTTCAAATGTTTCCCAAGAAGGCTGACACGTGCACATTACAGTTCTCAGATTTGTAGTGTGAGGATTTAAACAAGCCTTGATTATATTCAGTTCAGTTTTATGACTGAATCATGGGAAACAGCGTTTATCAGGGACAGAGGCAGAATGTCCTGGACATCAAAATATTGCAAACTTAGAGCAAAAAAATAGGAAGACAAATTATAAAACAAAAAGGGGATAATCCTCAGATTTGAAAAGTGGAAAACAACAGAATATTTGTTCTTCTTGTACTAATATTATTAATAATATGCCCCCCTGTACTGGTATACCCTAAAACAACAGATACATGTATTAAATATCATGGGAAGTAGTCAGATTTTTATCAGGACAGCTTCAAAACACAATGATGAGGACAATAAGGACACAAGACCTAAAAGCTCTCCGGACTGACGAGCATAAACACGACATAAAAGTATTCCCTGTGATGTTTATTTGTGTACATGTAGATGTGTCCTGTGTATGTCCGGCTGGTTACATCGGAAATGGAGACTTCTGTAACGGCGTCCTGACCAGTGTCCTCGCAACATACAGTAACTTCTCCGTCTTTTACAAGGTCAGTGTGATAGTTTCTCCATTTTAATATTGAAGGATAAATTGCCGACAGTGACTTAACACAACACATCGATTGTTGATAAAAAAAATAACTTAACTTTTCTCTCTCTCTCTCTCTCAATGTAGTTATTGTTGGACTACAGTGGCTCGTCCTTGGAAGGCAAACAGCTTGTTGACTTCCTGTCTCACAGGAAGTCTGAGGTCACGCTGTTTGTTCCTCATAATGCTGGATTTACTCAAAACAAGGTGAGAGACCCCAACTCTTCAGTAGTGATCTAATGAGTTAAAGTTAACGGACTCTAATTTATAATTAATTTAAAGGAGTAATATGTAACTGTGACACCTGGTGTTTAAAAAGGGTACTGCAGCCAAAATTCAAAACCTTGTAGAGATCTGTCTCCCCCCGCCCCCTCCTCTCTGGTCGATGCTTACACAGGTTGCCATGTCGCGGTCACTGAAACTTCAGTGTTTAGCCAGCTCTGCATCAGTCTGTAAACCTTTCTGTGTGTGTGTGTGTGTGTGTGTGTGTGTGTGTGTGTGTGTGTGTGTGTGTGTGTGTGTGTGTGTGTGTGTGTGTGTGTGTGTGTGTGTGTGTGTATGTGTGTGTGTGTGTGTGTGTGAAGACTCTATCACTTCGAGATCTCGAGTACCACATCTCAGCCAATAACAGCAGACGACCATTCAAGGATTTAAAACACAAGGAAGTCATCATATCCAGGCTTGGGTTCAATCTGACTGTTACCCACGGCAACAATGAGGTCAGAAAAAACACACACAAACACCCACGAGGTCCATGACTTCAAACACATAATTATGAGACATTATTTTTATTTCAATGTTGTCGCCTCAGAGCATTAAGCTGGTGAACAAGCGGCTGCTGCTGGACTGGGACATTCCTGCTGTAAACGGGATCATCCATGTCATCGAGGCCCCGTTCACAGCGCCCCCACCTCCAGTGAGTACAGATGCTTTAACGTCAAACTGCTGGGGACGATTAAAGCAGCTACTTTCTCTTTCTTGTACACCGTTTTCAGACCACACAAGATGTCGTACGGCTGGAACTAATGTCACATCAGCTGATCACTTTAAACGTCCACAAGATCACAATTTATACAAAAAGAATTCTTAGAAACGGAGATCTCTTCTCATGGTTATGTTTGGACGTGTTCTTTAGTATCATTTAGACAGGAGTTGCTATTTGTTGATAAATCCTGCTTTTTTAAGATTTACTTTTAAAGTAATGTGCCACTAAGACCCAAAATGGCAGACAAAATATGCACGCAAAGCTTGTTTTGCATCCTGTTGAACCTGTCGAACAAATCAAATAGCACTCTCATGTAAAACCTTAAACAATCTAGAAATTGAATATAATTTGAAATGGGATGATATGCCTTCAGCATTAATATACTTAAAAAATCAGGCCTGAAAGTTGACACACGGGAAGCCATCTCGACATTAGCTGCAGCCCCTTCACGTCGTGTGTATCAGGCTGCCATGGCGACACGACTGCCAACAACGAAAGAGAATAAATACATGGGATGGCTAGGTCAACAATGAAAGAAATGCTTGCTGTATTTTGCACTGCTGCAGTTTTTATCGTGGCCAACGGGAGGCGCTGTTAAGGCCGCACCTCTCAGGCCTGCTGCGCATACCAATGGGATGATGTCTCAGCTGTTGCTAGGCAACAGGGAGCAGATGGCTGTATTTAGTTTCACGGCACAGTGTTCAGGAAAGGAAGATGCAATCAGCTGAGTTTGCAAACCGATAACATCACAGCTCTGATCAATATTCATGAGGAACAGATCGTTGCAGATCTGAAGCCTCCAGCTAAATAACAATTATGTTATTCGCCCTGATAAATCGTGTTCACCTTATCTCCCCCTCCTCACCCCCTCCACCCGCTGATTGTGTACAGCGGTGGTTCAACACACTTGGATCTCAGAAACAAAGATGGTCTCCAGGTTTTGACCTTTTTAATGTAATCTCTTCTTTTGTTGTTCTCATGTTTCTGCCATCTCTAATGTAAGTTCTGTAGCTGCTGAAATTGAGGGGGGTTAACATAATTTACCAACAGCTGTTAACATATAATTATTCAGATTTAATTAAAAACGTGGTTCCTGTGTGACCACATGGTAAATGAAGTGTAACAACTTCAGACCGTCACATTTTCGGCTGCTATCACAGGTCAGGATGTCCAGCCCCGACACTGCACAGGAAACTAAACGAGGTGAAAGAACTGGATGGTAGACTTTTTTCTAATCTAGCTGCTTTACTGTTCTTCTTCTTCTTTTTGCATTTTGAATGTATTCTGTTGACATGTGGTTCATGCAGGTTGGTGCTTACTCCACAAACGTGTTTCCTTTGACATTTCTAAACTTTTAAAGGATAAAAAGAACAGTTCATTCAAAAGCAGGGGACATGTCCAATCATTGGAAAGCATCCTAATGTTGATTGAGGAAACAATTTATTTAAAAATCCTAACCTCCACTGGCTCCCAGTACCCCAGAGCGTCAATGGATAAGGCTCCCCCATCCTCCTTCTCTTAGACTCTATCTCTTCTTTGTTTTGTTTTCACAGTTTTGTGTTGGTGTTGTTCTTTGTTAATTGTCTTTGAGTACTTAGAAAACGATATACAAGTATAATGCATTTTGTGGGAGTAGAGAAGAGGTGGAGCCTTGAGGGTTAAAGTGGTCTGAGTGTTGCTGTTTTATTGTTTCCTCCTCTTAGCGTCATCAGGTTATCACACGTCTACCCAAGGTCAGTGAGTTCTCCTCAACACTCACAACAAAAACAACAACACGAGCATCAAAGTACTCCTGTATCAAAAACACAGGCTCCGTGACCAAACGTCCAACCTAGAGTTTTTAAAACCCTGATCAGAATTTAACACCCTGGACAATAATATATTATAGAATATGTCAGGATCTCTAAGTCCACGCTCGGCTCCTTTCTCGCTGAATGTTTTCTTGGAGGAGAGAAACTAAAACGAGGTTAAAGGAAACATGGATGCTGTTTAACAGAATGGGACCATCCTGCGACATGTGAAACATGTTGCTTTTATCTCACCCTTAATACTCTAAAGACTGTAAATGGCGTCCATGATGGGTGGTGAACATGTGACCGGGATCTGGAGGTTCTGTCGGGTCTTTTCATTAGATTTTTTTAATATTAAATATTCATGTTGTCATTGGTTGAACTTTTATTGCCCTCTTGGGAAATGAAGCTGCTGGGGCACGGAGAGTCACGTCTCCATGGTGACAGTGCAGCAAACTGTAGCTGTTGCCATGGTAATAGAACTCGACAGACAACGACTGAATGTGTTTGAGTGTGTGTGTGTGTGTGTGTGTGTGTGTGTGTGTGTGTGTGTGTGTGTGTGTGTGTGTGTGTGTGTGTGTGTGTGTGTGTGTGTGTGTGTGTGTGAGACATCCTGTGGTGAGGATTAAAAGTTGTGATATGACGGATTTTGTAATTGTGCGCGTCATACTTGTCGTCTCCAGATCTCCCATTCTGCTTCCAAAGGCCACGCCCACTCCAGCGGCACAGTGTCGGCCATCTTGGTGTGCCTGTTGCTGGCCTGTGTGTTGGCTGCACTCGGCTACTACGTCTTCAAACACAAGACGGACGCCTTCCGCTTCCACTACTTCAGAGTGAGAAATAATCTGTTTGATTCACAGACACAGGAGATTTTTATAACCATTTCATCATAACGCCTGTTAGCATCTCAACTGAAAAATTCAACCATATAGAACAGGTTTTAATGACAGGAGAGTTTGATATTCTTCTATCTAACAGCTAGAAGTTTATCGTCTCCCTGCTATCTGTTGGTTAACGATCTTTCCTGTTATCGTCCTTGTGGCAGAATGAAGATGAGGACGGGACGGGCGGTAGGAAGAAGCCCACGCTGGTCTCCATCCCCAACCCTCTGTACTGCGGCTCCAGAGCCTTCAGCGAGCCGTTTGGGGTGAGTCGACCAATCAAAGTAAGACTGAAGCCATCAGGAGAGCCTGAATAGATCTATACGTTTTCTAACTAGACTGAAGAATCCCTGCACTGAAAATCAACACAACACTCAGTGTTTGTAGTACAGTTCATGAAGACACAATAAAGGTTAATAAAGGTAAATGTAAAGGTTTATAAACCGGGATTATGCAACTCAAAGTAGTAACAGCAGCAACAGTTTTATGTTATGGAAAGTAAACTTCAAAAATACAGTTTCTAAATATTTTTTCAGCGGCTCTTCTGGAAGTTAATTTCTTGTTCAAGTCTTCAAAAGACGCGTCAGAAAATCCCTCTATTAATAGTTTTAATCCTGGACAACCAGCTATGGAACAGCCGAAGTTCACGAGGGGGGTGAACATCTCCATGGTAACAGAGGCCTCCGTCATAAGAGACGTCGCTGTGACACTCTAGGATTGTGGGTAGTGTAGTTCTTTTCCCTGACATCAAGAATAAACCATGTTTTACTTAAATAGAGGTTGATATCTTACAAAGTTGTGTCTCCTACAGGAGCATAAACCATAGATTCTCACTCAGGTAGCTCGTGGTCAATCGACCTGGATGGCTATGACATCATGGCTAATAATCAAATCCACTATGGTGAAAATGAACGGGGTTTGTATTACTGTAATCACACTAATGAGCTCTGTTATATAGATCAATAAATAAAATAAAAAACAATTTTGGAATGACATTTATTTCATCAGACACCACAAAGCATTGTCAGTTGTGTTGATGTACAGGTTGAGCCTTCAGTGTGCCAGGTGTGTGTGGTCAACTTCCACATCAAATGGTCACAGAAATGTCGATGGAGATTCTCTCCAACAGACACATCCTTTTCTTTTGCTCCTTCATACTCCGTCATATAACCGAGCAGATATGTCCTGATGCCTTTTTTTTGTAAAAAGTCTCCCATGCTGCCAATCAGAAACTCGCCATTTTTAGTTGATTCGATGAGAGGAGGGGGTTTGAGAAGTGAATGTGCCACTCTGCGTTCACTGCACTGAGCCTCTGATTGTCCCTGCCTGGCTTTGGGCAATCAAAAAAGTGGGGAATTGTGGGTCACAGTTTACATGCACATTGGGAATTATTTATACGAGGAAACTTGAGAGTTGTAGCGAGGCTTTGGTGTTTAAAGACAAACTGTAATGCTGTAGAGTAATTCTTTGTCTCCTAAAACAGCTTCTTTTATCCACCGACCAGCTCAGACTGTCATTCAGAAAACATTATGGACCCCTACAGACAGCGACCTTTTTCTCCTTAAAGGGATACTTCACCGGTTCAAACATATATCTGTATTGAAATTGGGTCATATATGTATATATATATATAGAAATGTGAAATACATTTTGAAGTTGGTGGCTTCTTGACCGAGAAAAGGCAGGAAGTGTATTTTTGGCTCATGTGGATGAAAGACACCAACTCCCAGAATGCATGGCACCGCAGGCCACTCCCACTGATCTAGAGTACCAAGCTAGCTACTACCAGACTGAGGCAAAATTCATTTCACAAACAAATTTGTTGGCAAATTCATCATGAAGTACTCTTTATTTGTCTTTCTTTTGAAATGGTGAATCTTTGCTTTGTACCGGGATGTTCAATCAGAAAAAGGAAACCTCCTGTGGGCGGGTTGAAAACATGAGGAACTAGCAATGCAGTTTCAACCCCTCTTACCAAAGCAGCCGCCGATGACGCAAATGACGATTTTTGTGTCATCGGAGGCTCCTTTTCAGACAAGAAATGCGGAGCTTTCCCGTCTCAGGGGAAAATGAGGGCGGGATGCACGACCATTCAAAAATACTACCAGGTTTCTAATGATACAAAGCTTAATGCAAATGGGTGAAGTATCCCTTTAACCAGAAAATCCTGTTACATCAGTCTCTTCAAAGCCACCAGACTGCATTTACAAAAACACTAATTTGATCTCTTGCTGTCGACTGCTGGGAGGTTAAAATTAGTGTTATTGTTGTTGGAGTTTGGTGGCTAGAAAGCGATGTAACGGCTGCTTCTAGCGTCAAAAAAGGTTTCTCTCTGTAGTTTAACTTCCTTTATCGGAGTATTCTCATTCTGCAGTTTGAGTTACACTCAGGCTTGTTGTTTTCCTTTACCACTCTTTGAATTGACTTTACATTTTGGTTGGTAAAGAGCCATAAATATTGACTTTATGACCAAACAGACAGCCCTCCTCCACATAATTGTGTGTAACTCGATATCCTGGTTTGATCGTCTTCCTTACTTCCCTCCTACAGGATGGGGGTCAGGCGATGGAGTCCGCAGAGCCAGAAGATCCTCCAAAGATTCTGGACCTGGACTAGTAAAAAATCAACAAAACTGGAAATATCTGTCTACAATCAAACCAGTTGCCTTTTTCCATGTTTAAGGCTTCAACTCATCTCTTCATTTGTATCTGAATAAGAAATAAAAGTTGTCTTGTTTACTTTAAAAGTATGGCTTTCAAACGATTACATTTTTTTAATCAGTAAATATCAATAGTTAACAGCGCTGAATCACATGTTTGTTCCATTATTTCACATCTAAAAATAAAAATTGAGGCTTTTATTTTGACATTTTGTATTGTCTTAAGGTCAGAGTACTTTACTTGCTGTTTGAATTCAACTGTGCTTTTATTTTGAAATAAATGTATGACCTTCAGGTGGATCAAAGGTAACAACATTAACTTAACCACTGAAACAGGAAGTGGTTACTGATCACAAACAGCCCAAAGGAACAGTAACAAAGGTAAATGTGTGATGTCATAAGGTGGATATTACTTTGGACTCGTCAGCTGAGCTGTCTGAGAGTTTGTTAAAGTGAAACGAGACATTCAAAGATGCAGCAGGGTCCTTCGTTTACATCACTGAGACTACAGGGAGACACTGAGGACGACTATCTACTGTTTCTGTAAGTTGTGCGGCTATAAATAATTATTAAGTAACAATTCGTCAGGATTCTTAAAACCCGCCTCAGCTCCAGCTCTCAGCCTGTTGTTAGGTTGACTGAAAGTTAGACTGAGACAGCATTTCCAACATGGCGGCTGCTGCTGATGAGCCTCATGTTTCAAGTATGTTTGCAAAATCCACAGTGAGAAATTATTTTAGACATATTACAAAACATATTTTTTAAATATTTCAACTTTTACTGCTCATCCTGTTCGGGGTCGGGGAGAATTGAGCCAATCCCAGCTGTCATTGGGCAAGAGGGCAACAGTCAATCACAGAGCTGACACAGAGACAAACACTCACAGTCACTTCTACTGGTAATTCACCAGCTAACCTAACGAGTCTTTGGACTGTGGGAGGAAGCCGGAGAGAACCCCCACATGAATGGGGAGAACATTCAACTCCACACAGAGAGGCTCCTGTCAGACGGGGATTCAAACCAGAAACCTCCTCGCTGTGAGGCAACAGCCCTAACTACTGCACCACTGTGAAGCCGTTCAGTCCAAACCAGCAGAAATTAAATGTCCATCATCACTCAAAATCACACCCTCTGAGACGGCTTTAAACTCGATCCGTCTGCTGCCGTTTGTCATTAATCATTGATGATGTTGTTCATCAGCAGGCAGCCTGTGGATGTGTTTGTCAATAAACAGGAAATCACTGCAGGCTTGTCGGACACTGATGGGACCGCCAACTCAGCGATACAGCGATCTGATGTCATGTATAGATTTTTGAGATGCATTTCTATTCTCCATCATTAAGGCCTCGTCTGAACTCTCTTTGATATTTTCAAAATGATGCAAAGCTATTTCTTAAAAAGGCCCACAGATAACGAACAGGACGTTACTAATGGGAAGTGTGGTAACTTCTACTCCTAAGAAGGATCAGTCGACAACTTTATGTCTAGATATTCACTCTTTATATTGAATGGAAAGGGTTTGTTACAGAATATGAACGAGATGGCAACGTGCTGCAATCGAGGGTAAAAATGAGTGACGTTCAAGTGCACATCAGAAAATAGGAAAACCCATACTTAAGACTCACGTTACAACACTCCTCCCCCTTTAAGTTCAAACATTTCCCAAATGTAGCAATAACAATGATGCTTTCACTGTGCATAAACCTAAAACGTATCCGTGTCTAAATAACTCCTCACAGAAATACACCTGACAACAAAAACATTGCATGTTCAACATTAAGTGCAACTAAAACACTCAAGTCAAACATTGAGTCTATCAGGGGGTTTGCGTGTGCGCTGCGATCTGCGCACAACCCTCGGTGAGCCCACAGGCACTTCTGGTGAAGGTGTCTTAGGTGAATCTGGCATTGCAGGCCAGAAAGGGGCCTGTGTGTCCATGTGTGACTGTCCCTCCTCTCCTGATGTCTGCAGAAAACACGTCCATCAGCCAGTTTAACTACACGGGAGACTGGGCCACCTTTTTTTAGGATAACTCCAGGCAACCATTTCTGGGTGTTGTTTCTGCTGAAGTTTCTCACATAGACCCTGTCATTTGTTCTTAACTGTCTCTCCCATGCATGCTGATCATGTCCCTCCTTCTGCTTTACTTGTTTTGTCGCCACTTTTGCTTTCATTTCGTAGCAAATCCAGTTGCGATTTGGGCCTACGACCCATCAGCATTTCTGCTGGGGAGCATCTAGTCGTAGTCTGAGGTGTGAGGCGGTATGTAAACAGGAAACATGAAAGCCGTATGCTAAGAGAGTCCCCCGTCATCCGCTTCAGGATGAACCGTTTGAACAGCCCTTTCTGCCAATCCACTTGAGGCGGGGTGGAAAGGAGCGGTCCGGATGTGCCGAATTCCATCCTGTTGCATAAATCCACAGAACATATCACTGGTGAAAGTTGGGCCATTATCTGTGACCAGAGCGTCAGGCAAATCGTGCACTGCAAACACTTGCCTGAGTTTGTCTATAGTCATGGGGGCTGTGATGTTCTTCTGGATGGGAGCTTCAATCCACTTGGAGTGTGCATCCACCATTACAAGAAACATCTGTCCCATAAAAGGACCTGCAAAGTCCAAATGTAACCTAGACCAGGGGCGGTCTGGCCACTCCCATGGGTGTAAGGGGGCTGGTGGTGTCATGTTCTGATTAGTCTGGCATTATGTGCATGATTTGACCTTTTTTTCTAAATCCTGATCCATTTTTGGATCTTGCAAGGCTTTTCATCCGAGACACACCAGGATGGCTCTCATGTAGTTCCTCCACAATCTGTGAATGGCCAGGTGGAGGCACGATGACCCTCGACCCCCCAGAAGATGCAGCCATCCTGCAGACTCAGTTCAGTCTTACGCCTAGCATAGGGCCTCAAGTCCTCATTTTCCACAACACCGGGCCACCCTTGTAGAAGAAAGGTTTTGACCTGGGACAGAATTGGGTCCCTCTCCGTCCATTGTTTTATCTGGGTTGCCTACACAGTTGTCTCTGATAACAGCTCCAAAGAAAACACAGTCTCTGGAGGAACATATGTGGCTACAGGTGTCCCTGGTAAAGGAAGTCGACTCAGTGCATCAGCATTCGCATTGTCCTTACCCGCCCTGTACACTATTGTATACTGGTATGCTGACAATGTGAGAGCCCAGCGCTGGATCCTGGCTGAGGCCAGCGATGGAATGCATTTGGTTTCACTGAACAGGCTCATCAGTGGTTTATGGTCCGTATAAATTGTAAATGAACGTCCATAGAGATACTGATGAAAACGTTTGACTGCAAATACAATGGCCAGACCTTCCTTGTCTAACTGTGAATATCCCTTCTCAGCTGCTGTCAGGGTACGTGAAGCAAAACCGACAGGCTTCTCTGAATTGTCCTGCATTACATGTGATGGAACAGCCCCAACTCCATAGAGTGATCTCCTTACCGGGGTCATAGTGGACCAGCACCTTTGCAGAGTGGAGGAGTTCTTTTACTTCCTTGAAAGCTTTCTCCTGCTCTTCGCTCCACTGCCACTTTGTATCAGTGTGTATCAGTCTGTACAACAGAGCCAAAACCTTTGAGAGGTCAGGTAGAAATTTACCATAACAATTCACCATGCCCAAAAATGACCTCAGTTCAGTAACACTCTTCGGGTTCGGAGCCTCCTTGATAGCTCTGACTTTATCCTCAAGAGGGCAGAGCCCCTCAGCAGTGATCTTGTGTCCAAGGTAGGACACACTGGGGGCCAGGAAAACACATTTACTGCGTTTCAATCGCAGCCCTGCATCTGACAGCTTCTTTAACACCTGCTCCAATTTAGTCAAATGCTCCTGCTCTGTGGCCCCGGTGTTCAAAATGTCATCTAAATATACTGCTACGTGCGGAATCCCCTGCAGCAAACTGTCCATTGTCCTTTGGAAAATGGCGGGGCTGGACGCCACTCCAAACACCAAGCGGTTATATTTGAATAATCCCTTGTGGGTGTTGATTGTGACTTACTCTTTTGAATCCTCGTCGAGCAGCAACTGTTGGTAAGCATGGCTCATGTCAAGCTTTGTGAATAGCTTACCTCCAGCAAGGGTTGCGAACAGGTCATCCACTCGTGGACTCGTCCACAATGGGTACTCCTCTAGTTTAGCGACCTGAGGTTGATTTCCTCAACAACCTCCGCCCCCTGGTGACTTCAAATCTGGATCCTCTGCAGTTCGCCTACCAGCCGAACATCGGGGTGGATGACGCCGTCATCTACCTGCTGCAGAGATCCTGGACTCACCTGGAGAACACCGGTAGCACTGTGAGGGTCATGTTCTTTGACTTCTCCAGTGCCTTTAACACCATCCAGCCTGCACTGCTCAGGGGGAAGCTAGAGAGGGCGGGAGTGGACTGTCACCTGGCTGCATGGACAACGGACTACCTCACCAACAGACCACAGTACGTGAGGCTTCAGGACTGTGAGTCTGACATGGTGGTCTGCAGTACAGGGGCCCCGCAGGGGACAGTTCTCTCCCCTTTTCTCTGTACACCTCGGACTTCTGTTACAACTCTGGGAGCTGCCACCTGCAGAAGTCCTCCGATGACACAGCCATCGTGGGGTGTGTGTCCAAGGGGAGCGAACAGGAGTACAGGCAGGTCATCATGGACTTTGTCGACTCGAGTGAGCTCAACTACCTTCAGCTCAACACCAGCAAGACAAAGGAGATGATTGACTTCTGCAGAAAGTCACCCCAGACTGCACCGGTGAACATCCAGGGCTTGGACATCGAGAGGGTGGAGACGTACAAATACCTGGTTGTTCACCTCAACAACAAACTGGACTGGTCACACAACACCGACGTCCTGTACAAGAAGGGCCAATGTCGACTTCACCTGCTGAGACGACTGTGGTCCTTTGGAGTGTGCAGGACTCTGTTAAGGACTTTTTCTGACACTGTGGTGGCGTCTGCACTTTTCTATGCAGTGGTCTGCTGGGGAGGAGGGAGCACAGAGAGAGACAGGAAGAGACTGAACAGACTGGTCAGGAGGGCCAGTTCTGTCTTGGACTGTCCTCTGGACTCTGTAGAGGAGGTGGGTGAGAGGAGGATGTAAGTGAAGCTGACATCCATCATGGACAACCCCTCTCACCCCCTGCATGACACTGTGGGGGCCCTGAGCAGCTCCTTCAGCAGCAGACTCAGACACCCACCCTGCAAGACA